TTTTTTTTTTTTTTGAGACAGTCTCACTCTGTCGCCCTGGGTAGGGTGCCATGTCATCATAGTTCACAGCAACCTCAAACTCCTGGGTTCCAGCCATCCTCCTGCCTCAGACTCCCAAGTAGCTGGGGCTACAGATGTCTGCCAAGACACCAGGCTAGTTTTTCTATTTTTACTAGAGATAGGGCCTTGCTTTTGCTCAGACTGGTCTCAAACTCCTGAGCGCAAGCAATCCCCACCTGCCTCAGCCTCCCGAAGTGCTAAGATTGCAGGCATGAACCACTGCACCTGGCCTGTTTACTTTCTGAAGAGGGAAATTCACTCTGTCTTACTGAGGACTTTGAAGCTTTATGGGAATAGTTTTACATCATTGGTAATTTTCGTTCTCTCTCTGTGCTTCTTCTAGGTCATTAATAAATTTTTATACTAGCATAGTATTAATTTCTGTATACTTTTTACTTATTAGTCTTGGTTTAGAGTCTGTTAATCAATTTTTAATCCACAGTGGTTACTACATTTTCTTAATAGCCTCTTATGAGAAATTTTATTTTTTAAAACAACCTTCTGAATTATATGTATCAATTTTTCTTACCCACTACTTGATTAACTCTTTCAAAGAACTCTAGCTGTTAGAGACACATGGTTTACACTTTTGGAATCCATGCTGATTATTCCTTATCAGATTACACTGCAACTCAGGTTTACTCAACTGTGGTTGCCAAGTCTTCCATTTAACTGAAGTTCTGTTTATATCTTCTAGAGTTGTGCTTTGCTGCACTTCAGCTTTTTTAGTGGATAGCTGGCACCCTGGTATCACAGATTTAAAAGCAGTCTTCTCCATTGGCTTTGAGGAATTTTGGACAATTATAAGTCCTACTTAGGAATTATTGAGCTACCTATTAAGATTGGTTGTCCCCAAAGATGCAGTCAAGTCTTTGTAAAACTGGGGATGCTGTGTAATGAAAAATAAGAGTCTGAGAACAGCGATTAAAAAAATAATAATAAAACACTTCTTTTGGTTTCTGGAATTCCCAGAGAGTTTCTGAAAAATAAAACATTTCTATACATTTTACTCCATTAATTTGGGGTAGGTACAATATCATGAGGACCAAATTAACTGAATTTCCATTTGTAGTACAACTTTAACTTTCCTAAGACAAAGAGAGACATACCTTGACAATGTGCCCTCATTTGTTTAATAATAAAATAGATGATAAAATTGCCTCTGAAATAATTTTATCTCAACTTTGTCCAATGGCTGTATGGATAAGGGCGGTGAAAGCCAAGCCTTGATGAATTTTTGTCCTGATTCTCATCCCTCATCCTGTGCTTAGGTTCTCTTTGCCAATAACGTCCATTTTACAAGGCATGTTCAAAGTTTTAAATTGTAATGTTCTTCTCAAAGTACTAGAAGAAGGTCAAAATCCAAGAAGAAATGTTGCCTTTGCTATATTCCCTTCTATTTATCAAATCTTCTCTTTTCCATTTCAAAACCTCCTATCTTAGTCCTGACCAAGTTATATTATGTTTCTTTCTGTTTTGCCCCCGAGTTGCTTCTTTGCATTACCATATCATTTCAAATTCTTTTGTACATTGCCATTGTGCTTAAAGTGTCTGATTCTTAGATTTCTCCTACATTTGCCAGTATCTTTTGTCTCTTCCACTTCTCTGATTTTCTTCTTTTTTTTTCTTTTGTTTTCTACTCAATTTGTATATTTCGAATAAGCTTCCACTACTGTTCTGATCAGTATTTCTCTTACTAGCCATCAAAAATTTAGGTCAAGGAAACTTTTCAGATCTCATTACTTAACAGTGACTGATAAAAAAGACTAAATGCTAGTGATTGTAGCTTCTTACTATCTTTATTTTCACTTGGTTTTATACCATTGTAGATGGAGTTGGAGTTTATGCATTGTCTAATTTCCAGTTTTCTGGTTTTTGTCAATGTTTGTTTGTATTATTTATAGTAATATATTATTGCTACCACTTTTACAAAGTATTAGTCATATTTTCTTTCTCAATCCTGTTCATTACAGATATTATTTAGAGCAACAACTCAAAATTAATCTTTCTTCTCAGAGCAAAAGAGTGAGAGGATCTTAGAGTAGCAAAAGAGAGATCACCAATTCTGTAACTATTACTATTCCTGCTTAGCTGGTTGTCCTGGATTTTCTTAGACTCCAGGATAAAGTTATGATCAGATTACAATGTACTGCCCTGAGGCTTCAGACCTATAATGGGAGAAGTGGTAGGTTAGTACTGGTATTTGGTCAGTAGCAGTGAACACCTCTTGGACAAATTCCTTTTTGCACAATGTCTCTGCTTGCCTCTTAATTTTACCTATTAGTCAACACATAGTTATCCTATCTTTGCATTTTTACTTTATTCGTAGTCAGAGCCTGCAACTTCATAATTAAAGTTTTGGCCAAAGCCAGAGAGACAATCTCATAAAGCAAACTAGAGTTGGCAAAGTAACTAAACTTTGACTTAGGGGTCTTCACATTTAGTTCTAACTCTCCCACTAAGAGGTTGTGTGATTTGGGACAAAATGGTTTTTTCCTTTCTAGGCTTTTGAATCCCTGTCTGTGAAATTGAGGGATTGAAATATAACAGTTACCAAATTTGCATTATGCATTTTACAGGTATTAGCTCATTGAATTCTCATAATAGCTTTATAAGAAAGTTCAATACTTTTATTCTGCACATTTTACAGATAAAGCTGCAAATTAAAATGTTTTCTAGCTCTAAAATTCTGTGTATCTAAGAATGTCATAGATGAACAGAACATCAGTACAAGCCTTTGTATAAATAATTAATTTCGGAGAAAGAAATGAAAGTGATGGGCGTTGTTTTCTGAGTTTGATGCAGAACACACAATATCCTGCTATCTCCTAATAATTTCTGGATTTCTTCTATTTCTCTCATTTTCCATTTCATTTGCAAGGGTAAATCAGAATGTTTATTTACTCAGTATCTCCCTTTTATTATTTATTTATTTAGAGACAGGGTCTGGCTTTTGTCACCCAGGCTAGCATGCACTGACATCGTCATAGTTCACTATAGCCTCCAACCTCTGGGCTCTAGTGCTCCTCCTGACTCAGCCTCTGTAGTAGCTGGGACCATGGGTGCATGCCAACATGCCCAGCTTTTTTTTTTATTTTTTTTTTTAGTAGAGATAGGTGTCTCA